GWGWWWTTWTMWMAAMACASWRTATAKARYTGYGAAACAGTGATCAATTCAAAGTAGAAAAAATCACAGTTCTCTCAGTCATGTACATCATAACTCAGACTTCACAGCAGGGAATCAAAATYGACTAAACATATGTTTATAAACATTTAAATGTACCCTTTTGTGTAGCTTAATTCATTTATACATGTATTGCAAATGTTGTTAAATTTTTGTTGATGTACATGACAATTTAATTAAACACTGAGTTCAATTTTTGACAACCTCAAGATTAAAATATAATGCAATTCTGTGAGTACATGTACAGATTACATGTACAGTAACTACATGTATTTAAAGTAAATGTTAACTATATTTTGTATGTTCTTTGTGTATAAAGATCTATAGATATTCATTAGACTGTATTCCTTTTTGAGAAAAGAAAAAAAGTTGTTATGAATAATTCAAAAGAGTTTCAATAATTTAACTACTTTATGAGGTGACTATGACATAATGCTTATTTTGCAAAATGTGATGAAGTATTAATGAAATACAATTGTACACAATCATGTGAATACATTTTTGAATGGAATGGGAATAATACTCTTTTTTCTACAAGGACAAACATGTTCTATGTAATAATTAATCAAAATAAATCCATAACTGACTTCTAATCTGGGGATTTCCTTCAGGAACAATAATTTCTCCTTTTAGGGATARAAATATCTCAAACCAATCAGTTGCAATTTGGAAGCAATGGCATATTTTTAACCCTTATAATAAGTGCAAAATGTTAGCTTGCTGGGCATTGGTACACGGACGATTTCCTGCTGAACACTGATAGCAAMTGACAATTCCTATAAAACAAATATAAAAACAATACAAAATCAGCTGAAAATCGTATCTACAGAGAGATTTCCCCACAGGTATATGGAGCCAACCAATCATTTAGTACAAATTTTAATGCATTCGGTCTTTCCTGATAAAAATTGATTGATGTGCACAATTAAAAATTCTGAAGACTCTCTGCGTCATCTGTGGCCTCAAATTCTAATTGCTATTTGCTTTGTGCATAAATATACTATTCTATTTTACGAAAAAAATGCAATACTCACAACAGAACCTCATCATTAAGCTTATAAATTTTAGGAATATACCAACCTATTTATTGTCAGAAAAAATGAGGTATTCTTATTTTTGACACAAACTCCAATTTGAAAGGGAACAACCTATTTACACAGACAAGAGATCCACACATATTTTCTAAAATATTAACCATTAATACAAAGTAAAAGAGAAAATATGATCATTTTCCTTTTCTTCAGCTGTCATTTTAATTTCTTCGACATCTTACCGTAGGCCGACTTCAAAGATGACGGCAAAAATTAGCTAGATAAAATTATCTTCAACAGGTTTTAATATTTGGGTTTTTATTGGAAACGAATGATAGTTTTGTCTAGCAAAGAGAAGACAATGAAAGTGAAAATTCTTGAGAATACTGGGATTATTTATAAATGAGGACGCCAAGTATTTGAGTCAAAATATAGAAAACGCTAGCRTCTCTTTTACAACAGAAACATTGAACTAGCTACTGCTATATTCTAATTGACAAAACACATTTGAAAATGGATAAAATAATTTGAACGACAATGTAGAMTCGTAATTAATAAACTGCACCAACAAAATCCCAAGCTTACCTTTACTACGATCAACAGTCGAGGGCGATAATTTCCTTCTTTCTCCATAAGAGTCAAGTGCTTTTAGAATATCTTCAGTTGAAATATTACTGGAACTTCTYCCACTCTTTTCTTGGCTATCCATTCATTAGATTAATGAAATATTTCATTGAAAAAGGTGATCTTCCTCATTGCACTGCGAGATTTATCAAATTCTGCGGTCACGAGATACATGCATCGCAGGCTCAAATCCTTCGCGGTTGCCGCAGACTAATTCCTGTCGCGATTCAGGGCACACTCTTCAGAATTCAAAAGGTTTTAGTGGACATAATTTAGATKAAAGAAGTTTGTACAGCGTAACTTAGATGTAAATATCTGCTTTATCAAAAATATCTGGAATCAAAAGAATGTAGGCTTGCCATTTGGGCTACCTGTGTCTTTATCAACACGTAGATGGAAGGAATGAGTCAGAGATACATTTATGACAATTTATGCAGAATCAGCTTACAATCTATACCAAATGGATTAAAACTGCACTCGCAAACACCCGAAATGAAAGCTTAACGGTAAMAATCTCTCGAGCTTATAATGTTTGAAAATAGCTAGCGAACAAATCTKCGAATGACTTGAGATCCTTGAGAGACGTTGCCATGGGACATGGTTCAAGCGTCCATCGMAGTCAGGGGAGCACCTTRCAAACGACAGTCAATGCTGTGGTTAAGTTTAAAGCTAATGCTAGACAGCATGACAGCGGAGAGTCATCAGGATTAGATCTGACAGTCAGCGGAAAATCAAAGACTGTAAATATAGCAGAGAATGCTGAAAGGTACAGTAGAACACGTACATTGTACTTAAACTTACTGACCGTTGTCACGAGGAATTATCCTCAGGTCATGATGGAAGACGTGATAAACGGAATAGGTTTATACCAAATTAAAAAGCACTCATCTCATCTCAAGGTCGGGCACAATATATGTTTAGGAAGACTAAAAAACTGATGGATTGATTTGGTCGATATTAAAGCGATCATTTGAGCTTAATTTAAGCTTATTAACTGCCCTGGATTGATTGCATGAGTAC